TTGAAGATGGCTCAAAAAGGTCAAGCCAAACGACAAAGTACACCGGCGCCTCTCGCGGTGAGAAGTCAAGCTGCACCTGCACCGGCGAGAAATCAAACGGCATCGGCGCCTACGACAAGCCGAGCAGCGCCAGTGCCCATGACGAACCAAGTGGCACCTAAACCGGCGAAAAGTCAAGCGGCGCCCACACCTACGAAAACTCAGGCATCAGCACCTGCCCCAACGAAAGCAGCACTTCCGCCACACGTCAACTGGTTTACGGGCTTCAACTCTGAATGTCCGGACTGTGTTCGAAACAAAAAAGTGGCTAACGCAGGTTTCCCATGCTGGAATTGCGTCTACAGATTACCGGTGAACGAGCGGACTATTGTGGCATACACTGAGGCCGCCCGGGGGAACAAGGACGTCTATCGCTACGTCACTAACGCACAGAATTGGAAGAATGTCCCACCTAAGGAGAAAATGTTGATAGAAGACCGTAACCGATAAGCCATTCGGAATGGTGAACTCGGCTGGGACGCAACGCTGGAACCGATGCAGGATGATGACGCTGACGCATATCGGGCAGAATTTGAAGCCACTATGGAAAAGATGATGCAGGATAAGCAGAAGCAGGAACAAGAAGAAGAGTTGGTTGCTAGACGAAAATGTGCGGAACAACGAGCAGCGCAGGAGCACCGAGATAATTTGGCAGGACGAGGGAAGTCTCCTGCACCTATCGCACAATTCAAGGCGAATGAATCGGAAGTGAGAGTGAAGGCCATTCTCTTTCAAATCGACGAGCTGGTAAAGGAACCGTCGAAGGTTGACCCAGAATTGTTCCAAGTCCTTCTTCGAGAGAAATTGCACTTAGAACAAGGACGAGCGCCAACGCCGACCACCAAAGTACTGGTCGAAAAGATGACGGAAGCGGCCAGAAAAGCACATCAAGTCGAACGGGATGTGATGAGGGCCTTCCAGAACTTCAGTCGTGAAGATAATTTTACACGACCTTGATCGCCAGCGCGCAAGGAACACGAAAGGTCACGAGAATACTCACGCGAACGGAACTACGATTCCCGCAACCAAAGGTCACGGGAGTATTCACGGGAACGGACGCGTGACTATCGTAACGAACAAGACGATAGGTCACGAGATCGATCGCACGATCGCGACTACCGAGGCGGAAGATCGTGGGAACGACATGGCGATCAGGTAATTGAGACTACTGCGCATCGACGCCATGAAACGGACCGACGCCGAGATGAGCCACGCCGACAAACGCCTCTCGGAATCGCATTCTGTCATCCCAAAATCAGAGGATTTACACCGGAACGACAACGGGCTGGTGAAGCAAGAAGCGGTGGTTCCGGCACATCAAACCGGAGTAGAAGCCCGTATGATAAGGGGTGGCAAGAAGACATGAATTACTTTGCCGGATTTGAATTGAATAACAAAAAAGGTCATCGAGTGGAGAACGAGAAGAATGCCCACCGAAACATCACAAAGTCAAGTCAGTGGTTCACATGGTGGAGCCATTGGTGGTAACCTTAAACGATGATGAACCGATGGAAGTATCATCACAGGATAATACCATTCATCGGAGGAATGTGGTGTTGGACTCCGATCTGCAACCGTCGACATCGGCGAGTAAGGAACCGCCGCGACGCGAACCAGAGAGTCCACGTGAACAAGGAAGCCGACGTGAACCTGAAAAACGACGTGAGCCTGATGCTTGTCGCGAAGAAAACAAGACTTCCAGGTTCGATAATCCTCGAACGCAACCGGAATTGATCGACATGACCTTTAACATGGACGATCTCGAGGAACAGCGAGCCGAAATTTGTCGATATTTAGGAGTCGACATTGAAACGGAAGTGTCGGCGACGATATTGACGCAGCTGGGCAATCTCATAACTTTCTTGATCGACTCGGAATATGAGCTCGAGATTAAAGAGGGATACTTGGGTGGATTGAAAATCACCAAGGAACATGCGACCGCGCAGTACATGCCTGTTCGGCAATCCGGCTTACCGAGTTTGATCGACTTGAATTTAATGAATACCCCATTGGACACAGCTGATACAACGGGATGGACTCAGTTTCGCTACATCGAATGTAAGGAACGAAGGGGACATGTAGCACAGTTCGTCCTACGTCACGTTAACCCGGCCTTCAAAGTGTTGGCATTACGAGCCGCGATTGGCTTGGTTGTCGATCCCACTAATCATGACGCCCGAACGTGGGGTCAGAAGATCTTTGCGGCGCGATTGTCACATTACCCGGGCCAGTTGTTCTCGGACGGGTTGAAAAATAAAAATCCTTTGGTGTTTTGAGAAAAGGCGGCCAAGTTGGGAATGTCATCCAAACATCACGCGATAGCCAAGAAAGCGAGCGATGATTTGGCCACATGTAAAGATCGACTTTCATGGCCAGACGCTAAAAGAATATTCGATTCGCAGTACCAGGGATGGCTCGATCGGATCCGCGACACGATGGGATCGCGGTATATCGAACCGAAGGATAAGTCCATGCTTATATCGAGCAACACTTGGTATGGAACGGATCCCACAAACCGGCACAAGCGCAAGTTCCTAATACGCCGCGAAAACGAGCTGCTAAGAATCAGCAAATTCGCGATCAGTACGAGGATGCGAAGCAGCGATTGGCCAACGATCCTCAAAACCGGAATTTACAACGAGCGGAAAATGATGCACGACATCAGTTGGACGCGATCAAACGTTCCCGACAAGGAAAAGGTCGTGGAGCACGAAGTAACGTTGCTCGTGCTCCAGTGGAAGACGCCATGCAGGTCGAGTCGACAGAACCGGTTGATCGAACCTCTGACAAGAATCAGCGTAGTTCAACTCGGAAACGACCGCCTCGAAAAGATGGCGACGGAGAGGGGTCAAGTGAGACGATGGACCAGTGAACTTGACTTAAAGAGGAGTTGCTACGGCTTTGAGTCGGCTCTCCCATTTCATCGATCCACTACCCACTCTAAGCGAAGAGAATCGACGGTAATCAGCCGGATCTCTTAACGGAGTAGCTACGGTGAATCTGGCCGGCTTTCTGAAAAAGGTTAACATGAATTATGCGACGAGATGACCTTTACCAGGGAGGCAAGCTGAAATGCTAGAGAGTCGACGAAAAACGGCTAAGTTTCTCCATGACTTTTAATCGAAAATGAAGTCAAATTGAAAAGCGGATTACCGATGTCGCACATCTATGCCGAAAATGGTTCTACTAGGGAGGGAGCGAAATTACGCTTGTCTATATGACGTCCCTCCATGACCTTTGCGGATCTCATTATACAGTCGTACTATGATACGCACCTTATTCCAAAGACGAAGAAGCAGTATTCCTAAGTCGTACTTGATACGCACCTTATTCCAAAAAGCGGATGTGATGAAAGTCGCACTAGATGCGCATGATGCTCGAGCGGAGCGAAGTTGCTCAAAATGGACCGGAATGGATTAAAGTTCCTAATGGTGGACGGGGATACCTGTGACCTTTACGAGTGGAGGATCCTAGTCTACGGAATTTTTGATTAATTGCTTCTGTTGATCTGTTATAATTGTTGATCTGTTTTTGTATTAGAATTGATATGGAATAGTATTTTGATACAGATCTCTTTATTCACATTGTATAAATTGGAATTATGTGATAAAATGGATTAGAGAATCTGATTTTTTTACGAGCGCGCACAGACAGCGGCCAACGATTGGAATTGGACGGATTGGATTCAGCCTCGAGGGACCTCGGCATCCCTCCCAGAGGCTTGTGAGGCGATGGCTACCCTGCGTCCACCTTCATGACGCTACGCGAGCGCTTCGTTGCACCACCCCGTGGGGAATTGCCGTAGTTGCCGTCTGTGATGTGTCTCGCTTCTGATTGGCTGACGGCTACAGCCGTTCATTGTAGGCGGCATCCATAAATTACCTCACGCAAGTTGGGGGAGGGGGGAGGTCCTGAAAGCGTTACTGTTGTTACAAAGAGGAGGGGGGTATTAAAAACTTTGTTACGATTCTGACGTCACCATGCTATACCTATGGAGGGGTTCTAAATTTGTTACGTAGCGCTCAGGGGAGGGGATCAGAGTTTGTTAGCACTGGTGACATAGGGGGAGGGGGGTATCAAAATGTCGAATTTTTGCTTTACGTAATTTATGGATGCCGCATGTTCACTGTGCGCAGTGGGTTAACGCCGCTGAGAGCGGATTGAACTTGGCTCTCTGAGCGGTGTGAATGTTAGTGTTGATTTAGCCGTGAGCAGAACTGCTAATAAAAGTGTATTGACTATTGCGTATACTGGATGTCGAGCGTTGCGCTTTTATTCCACAGGAGTAACGTTATACACTACACAGAGTCCTGTCAGTCTGGACTACTGTCCTGGATTCATCCTGAGTCCACGGTAATAAGTGACTCGGCTTGCATTTCAACCTAACCTATGCCTAATTAATTGCGATTTTGTGCCAACAATGTGATAGATTTTTTAATTTAGTTGTAATTGATACATATCTCTAATAGCGGTAGTATATCGTAATCATGGAGGTAACAAAGCGGAAGACGCAGTTGATTTGTTACTTTTATCGTATCCGGATCAAATTAAAGTAGCTGTAACAGGAAACTGAGAAAGTTTTCCAGACTTGATGCACCCTACTTGTACCGTACTCAGTGACGCAGTAGAAGAATTGACACATTTCATGAGGCTGCAGACTATAGTATAAATAAATCTAACACGGACCGTGTAGTTACGCCTTCCGGTAACATATTGGTGATTTTCCTAGATTTCAGGTATATTCCGCGTGTTGATCGTAAATTTTGGTCGCTTCATCTAGAGTAGTCGATTTATAATTGTTGGATATAAAGTACATAGGCATAGCGATGTATTGTACTGCGACTCGCTTGATACTCGCACGATGTGCCGATAATTCGTACACCTTCAGTCTTGTGATTAAAGGCAAAGAGATCGATTTGTGGCTTTGGTGATTTTATGGTGCGGCTCATAAATGTTGCCGAAGTAATTTTATAGCTTTTAGGCCTGTGACATGCATTCTTCAGAAATAAGCTTCATTGTGTGACTGTACATACAGAAATTCCAAAGATTTCGATAAGCAAATAAAAATATTAATCTCATATAAAAAATCACAATATAATTTGTATCCCATAAGGAAGTCATTTTTACGATTGATCCCCTAAATAAATGGTTAAGTTAGCTAGGTAAGTATAGCTTCATGGTTGCAGATTTGTTGGCCTCATTTTAAATACATCAGTACATTACTGCGTGTATATAAAAAAAATCACGAGGCGGTGTATCGAGGTGGAGGCTCGGGCATCGGATATACCGGCGTTTCCGCTCCACTACTGGCTATTGCCGTGGCATATGTAGGCGGTGGCGGAACATTGTCGGGCATCCCAATCACGCTGACCCCGATATCCTCCCCACGGTTCCGGCGCTCATCCCACGCCGTTCTCCTCGATTTCCACACCACCGACAAGGCGACCATGTTGATAAGGAAGGCGACAAGCCCAACGGCGGTACTGGATGACCCGGCTACTTGCCTGTTCTTCTTGGTCTGATTCTGGACCGCTTCGGCCACATCATACAGGCCCATGGAGTCCATCTGTTCGATGAACTCTTCGGTATCATCGCGGGCCAGCGACTGGTGGGTCATTTGCAGTAATAAGATGAGCCCGTGGAGGAAGGCGGCCGTGCCCACTAGAATGGACAGGGTGCTGACCAGGGCAGCGAAACGCAGCAGATAGTCCAGGCGGAAGTCGCGGTTGGGTGTGGCCGGTGGGAGACCGAGGGCTTTCGCCAGAGAAAGACCGGTGGAGATGGACAAGACGGAAGCTAGGATGAGCCAGGCGGTGAGGACGGCTAACGTGATGGTGTATGCTGCGAACACATAAAATTATTCAATAATTATTTCCATGTGTCGACATTTGCATCTCTTTAAAGTAATTAGCAACTGGCCGTCAAATGATATAAAGCGCGTATCGTATGTATGCACATTTATGTGTGTACATGTCTTTATATCACGTTTGTACAATTACTATGAGTAGTACTACATCACAGCATGCGGACATAACAATATCAATAAAGTTTACTTAAGTGTCGTACATAAAATATTATTACCTATCTATATGCGCACAAACACGTGGCGCTTGCATTTTATATAGGCAACTGCAATGCTATAGTAAATTTGTAACTGAAAATGCGTTAGTTGCAGGGAAAATTGCACGGAAGCGATATCGTGCGCACCATATTATTGTTAAAACATTCGTACTTATCAGAAATTTATCATCGTAACAGTTTTGAATAAGTACTCGTATTACAGATATCTGCCTGCGGTTAGTTTAAATTTAGAACATACCTCACAAAATTATTATTACATCATTCGTATATCGTAACAACAGAAAAATAACTACAGTACACGAACGGTTTTGTGATCTGGCTGTTCACACCAAAAATGAGTTAAAATATGAGGGTCACGATTAGTTGCTACAATTCTGGCTTACGTAAAAAAATGCTCAATATGACAATTCCGGCAATGGCACATAGAAAATTGAAAATTCCACCAAATAATCCCAGAACAAAAACCGCTTTCCAAAACGGTTTATCACGAAGTGCACTTCCTTCCCCGGTAACAGGCGCACGTGACCGGTAGAGATTCAGCTCGGTCAATGGTTTACTGTTCGCAGTACGCGTTATGGCTAGTGGCGAAGCGCGCGATGGATCCTGCGCAGCGACGTTTACTGTTCGCAGTACGCGTTATGGCTAGTGGCGAAGCGCGCGATGGATCCTGCGCAGCGACAGCGGAAAAAATCACTTTCAAAGCCACTGAAAACCAATCCCATCAAACGTATGCAAACTGGACCCACAACGTACAGTAACTTGAGATAAAATTTTAAAAAATTGGGAAAACTACGTAAACACCTAGAGAAATTGTGGAGTGTTTAACGTGAATTAAATGCGATACTTCTACTCATGCAGCTTGTTTGTTGTGACTTGACGTGATCAGCGAATGCATTCGTTATGTCCAAATAAATACTGCTCAGGCTTCGCGGTGGATACACGGTACGAATGCGGATTGCGGAATGCTCGGATTTAATAATGTAGTACTACTACAATATTGCCGAATCGCACTTTCTAGTATTTCTGGCATATATCGGCAGAAAAAGTGCTGTTTCACAGAAAAACGCGTTTCGGTGAATTTGACTTGCTGCGGTATAATGTTTCTGCGTCTCGCTACCATAATACTAGTAGAATAAATGTTAACGCCATGACACGAATCGGCCAACAGTCGTGTATTCATTGGACAGTTTCACCTTTGGTGCATTGCATGATACAGCATAAAAATTTGGACACAAGTCACACAACCAACATGTCCATTAAATATTAATTTGACATTAAAGGAAATGTCTGTATGGCACAGCAGTATTCCAGATTTACGAGAATTGTCAAATTAATGTAAACAGTCGTAAAGGAATGATGATCCCGCGCAATCCCCTACTCTACTTGATAAGAACATCCCGCCTATGCCGGATCGGTAGTCTGTGCTGCCTGCGCGGTAGGATTGCATTAAAAACAGCTGGTGGCATCACTAATAATTTTGTCACCCAAACGTTGCCAACAGAATGCGAAAAGATTACTTATGAGCAAAAAGAAACAAAGAAATAGCTGTAACAAACTCTGGCGAGGAGATCACGAGTGTGCTTTATTGTACAAATAAAGGGGAACAATGCTGCGTAATAGCAGAAAGCAAGAACATAGCACGGATGGCTAAAGTAGCAAGTGGTTGCTAAAAGGGTTCTTGGGCGTCTGATGGCGGGAAAGGAATGCTGGCGGCAACCACGTGCGTGCTGCAGGCCAGTCGTATCAGCTGTGTGATGCGCAGACTGGACTCGATCCAACGCGAGCGTATGAACGCTAAGTGGTACTGCGAGAGAGGGATGAGAGAGCAAGTACAGCTCAGTGTGTGCGCTGCGTATATCCGCTTCAGCGGATGAGTCAGTGTAGCAGCAGCACACGTACGTACAGCGAGAGAGGCGATAACGGCATGCAATGGGTGCAAGTACGTTCTGTATGGACCGTACGCACCAGGCGCAGTCGTACGCCTCTGACATGCCTCTGGGCGGGAATCCGAGCTCCTCGGTACCGCACCAGTACCGCACAACTCTCCGGTTGGACCCAATGTGGGGTCGCCGGTACGTGTCCTCTGGCAGCGGGAGTCCGTTGTCTGGTTGACCGTCCCATCTTCACTTCCGAACCCGTGAGAGGAAGCCAGTCACGGCCGAAGAATCCGGAAGTCGCTCGGGCGCTTCGTTGGACCGATGATGCATCTGTTGACTGGCTTCTTGCTTCTGCTGGCATCGGAGAACAATGTAAAAAGAAATGTAATGAAAGTTTATGCAGCGCAAAAGAAAGTATGAAATAAAGTTTAATCACAATTCAAATGAGCAAAGGGGTTACAAAACAGATCTGTCAAAGAGATCGAACTAGAAAAATACAATTTCATTTGTTAAGGAAAAAAAATTGCTAAGAAAATGCACAAATCTGTCCGGGGGTCCTATTCCGACTAGGATGACGTCCACGGGGTCTCCTGTCAACTCTCATCCGGTAAATCTGGGTCCGGGGCATCAGTTCCCGGGTTACCCGTCGTAGCCGGCTACTTTCACCGAGGTCGCATAAGCATGGTTAACAGAGACACTGTTGCAGTTGCAAATGCCGAGGCATCCTCTCTGAATGGGGAATAGGACAGAGGTCGGTTTGACCAAGGTCGGCCTACCGGTAGGTCGACCGGCGGCTGGGGGAGATTCGGCTATGTTCCGAATTCCTAAAGTTCAGGTCGGAACAAGCTGTATGTCAGACATGCGGCCTTTGTGGTGGTCATGTACAGCAATTCCGTTCAAAAGTGGTCGGTTAAGACCGTTCAATCTGCTACCACGAGACTGGTTTGGAGTTATCCGAGTCGGACTGGCTCGAAGGTCCGGTCAGAAATCATGGGTTTCTTCAATGGAAGTGTGCAGTCGAGTTCGATCCGATGTGTTCCGTTGTTATCCGACCTGTAGTCGAGGTCGGTTGTCCTATCCATCGGTGGTCGACCAGGGTTAACCTGCAATAACATGCCCATGTGGGGCTAATTAAGTTCCTTCAGGTCGAATTCGTCCACTGCATTCATTCATCCATGGCCGACTTCCGACTTGTGGTCGGTTATCCAAGGTCGGCTTCCGAAGGTCGGATGAACTGTGTGTTCTTCCGCTTAAGGGCTGAATTCTTCCGTTAGGAGGTCGGTGTCCGACTTCCACATGCCTTTGCCGACTTGTTGTCGAATTTTTCCGACCTACGTTTGGTCGCTTCCGACCTCCGTTTGAGGTCGGTTAGGCATACTTCTTAATGGTCGAACTAGACGACTTATACCGTTATGCCCATGTGGGGCTGGCCGGCACTCGTCAGGTCGACTTCCTTCTGCCATTAACTCTGGGTCGGATCCAAGCTTCTGTTGGGCGGTTAATCCGTGTAACGCGCCTCTGAGTAGCCGAGTCCTGCGAAGTTGGAGTTTCCCTGGCATCTGTTAGCCCAGTGACGGGCGGTTCATCATGCAATTATGCTCGCTTACAACGCTAAGGGTCTTTGTGGCCCCGGTTGACAACAAGACAAGCTCTTTGGTTTAAACTTCATGCACATGCAAGTCCATGAGGTCATCAGATCCGATTCTTCCTTTCTTTGTCGCAACCTGAGACGCCTAGCCGCTTCTGTTGGGGGTAGACGACTCACGTCCACGGGGAAATTTTCTTTGCCGGTTTCGCTGACCAATTGGCCGGTGCTGTTGCGGGCAAGTGGTCTTCGTCACCGGAGGTTCGCTTAGGGGGGTGCAGGCCGCGTGTTCTAACTCGGTCTGCCTAGGATGTTCCATGGAAGGCATGGAGAAGCAGGTCGCGGCGGAGTCGTTGGAGTGGCGGCCAGCTAAACCGTCGCCGTTCCTCTTCAGGGAATTGCAGCACGTTCAAGACGCGCGTAGTCGTGGTCACCGGTGAATCGGCTGTTTTACCCGTTATCCTTTGGGGGAGACTTCGGTTGGACTCCGGGTACAGGTTCCTAGTTGAGTTCCTGTAGATCTGGGTTCAAACGGAGAATCCGGTTGGGCTACCATACTACTACCATATAACCGTCGTTTGTTTCCGTCCGTCTTTCCTGGTCGACTTCTGTTGATCGTTATGGTCGACCTGTGTGGTCGGCTATAATGTCGACTTCTCGTTGGTCGGCTACCATATACTTAGTCGATCTGTGTGGTCGGCTAGGGTAGCGGGTCGTGGTTCAGCGATCTGCCTCCTTGCAAGTCCGTTTTGAATGTGGTAAATTTCCACAACCGACCTTTGTGGTCGGTTTGCACAACCGATCTTTGTGGTCGGCTAGTGCAGCAGTGTCCGCAATGTCTCTATTATGGCGAAGTACGAAGTCAACCTTTGTGGTCGGCCCAAGTACTTACGTAGTCGAATCCGAGTCGCCCTGCGCTGTAGGCAGCTCGGCCGAGGGATATCCGCTGTTTACACTGGTGAAGGTTGCTCGACTACCCGGTTCCAAAGTTGGCCACGGGTGCTTGGCAAGCATGGCGTGAAACGCTCACAGTTACGTGTTTCGCGCCATGCTAGCGTCATCCTCTCAGTCATTGCTCCGGAGTCGGTTGGCCGGAGTAATCCTCGTAGCTGATCGTGGTTGATGGCGCGATCTGTATCATGTAACCTACGTTCGGCTCCATGTAACGCGGATTGGGGCTTCTGTTGGCTCCAATGGTAAAAGAACGTAGTTCACAATGTGCTATGTTAGCCGATGTGGTTACGATCTGTTAATGCCATGCTGGGGAACTGAGGTCGGTTTGCCCAGTTCGGTCCAGGGGATTCCTCGGAGGACGTACCGGTACGGTGAAAGAATCCGGCTTGTCAGGTCTAACCACTCGTGTCCGGGTCAAACCGAAGAATCCGACTAACTTTTATAGTCGGTACTACTGGCAAAGTTATCGTTGACGTCCGCTATACATGGTTAGTCGGTTTCTATGAAAAGAACTAAAGAAAGGTGTCCATTCCGAAGTCGTTTCTCGACGGTGCTGCTTCTCAGCTGGACTGTTTCTCAGTCAGGTCGGTTATCGACCGTGCCGTTTGTAGGCGCGAAGTGCCCCCTGCTATTCCAAGTGAGGGATCGAGTTCCAATGTGGGAACTCGATCTTAACTCAGTGGGACTTCGACTGGCTTGTCGCCGCCGCAGTAATCTTCCTCATTTTCGTCGTCTGGGCGAGGTCGGTGGTGTGGCCGTAAGGTCGGTTCCTTAGGCTTGCAAGTCGCCGGGCCACTCCGTTGGGACGTATCGTCAGTCTCATCCGTTTCCTGACCTGGGCGTTCCGCCTTAGCCTTCTTTTCCTTGGCTGCCTGCCTTCGGAGCCTCAGCGCAAACGGTTGTGCGCCGGGTGCTATGGCGTCCGACATCCAAGTCTCGTAAGGCGACGAGTTAAATCCGCTGGGCAAAGTCTTCTTTTCACGGTATTAGCTAATAAATCTGGTTGCGTCGTCACTAGGATCTACGTGATCCTCACGAAAGGCATATTTTGTCGCATACCGTTCGTGGGTGTACAGCAAGTCGCGCATCCAGACGGCAAGCATAACACTTCTCATCGGTTTGCCAAGTTGGCCCACGAGGGTTTCCAAAGCCGCTGGTATCATCTCGTTTTAATACAGTCCGTACAAGGTGCAATGGCAAAAGTAATTGCCAAGCCTCGCTGCGAAGATGAATCGCAGGAATGCCGTGACTCCGTCCTGGGCGAGGTCGATCTCTCCTTCCGGGAAATGCTGGTTAAGTCCAGCGCTGCCCGAGCCGCGGTGATAACAAAGGCTGGATGCGCGTCCGTTATGACGAACTGGGCGATGCTTTCCAACTCGTCATGGGCATATTCCCGAGCTCCTAGTTGGCTCGCACGCGTTCCGTCAGGGCTGTACAGCGGTACATTCAGCAAGACTGGGTCGGTCATCGACGGTAACGCATTCGATCTGGTGTATGGGTGTTCAACATTCTGCGCTGTTTGCGCATTTATGTTGAAGTCCCGTTACCACTGGTGTTGTTCCAGCAGAGTCTGATATCCTGATCGGACGAGGAATTGACGAAGGTTTTCTACCATCCGCCAAACTTGTGGGCAATTTCGCTCCTCGTAATTCATGACGTTCATTATGTGATTCGTTCGTTCGTTCGGATGTGGGATAATGACCTCGATTCCCTGTTGTCGGGCATGGTCGTAACGAGGATCTTCTTGAGCTGGCACTTCCACTTGTGGTAGTTGTGCCATTTGGTCGGCCACATCGACGTCCATTTGTTCGGGTTATGCTGCCGGTTCAGCTTGAACTTCAGCCACCAGTTCCGCCTAGTGGGCTTCCGGCTGCTGCTCGGGTGGGACAAAGTTACGTTTCGACTTATTTGTTAAGTCGACCGTAAGTCCGATTCCCGTTTCTCCAGATCCAGTGCGTTTTCCTGGTCGAGGTCTGGTCGGTTCTTTTCCGACTTCGCGAATGACAGCTCGTTGTTCTTCTTCTGTTTCGAAGATCGACATGACCAATCCTATGTCGGAGGTCGTGTCCCGCGTGATTCTTAGCGGGTAGGCGGTGCTGCTGTTGGGTCGCCAACGAGGCTACTGGTTGAGTCCGATTTCCATGTTGAGGAATCTGGTTGGAAGCAGTTGGACGAGCCTGTGTGACTACTGGCGTTGCCCTATGTGGGACTGCCATCAACTGTTCTTCGGTCGCCGGAGTAAGGATAACCATCTGTTGAGTTCCGTCCGGCATATTCATCATCATCTACACTGATGTGTCCCTCAATGGTCGGTTTGGGTTACCGACGAAGACGTCACGTATGTCGTAGGTCAGCTGTTCGCTATCCGAGCGACCCTGTGTGGGTGCCGGTAACCGAATCTTTATGTCCGGTTCGTAGGTGGTCGGTGGCGGATGAACCCGCATTGTGGCGATCCGTTCATCAACCTCCTTGATCTTCTTCTGATCTTCCAGTTGACGCTTTATGTCTTGCGTCTGTCGGTACATCCACAGCCTATCTGTTAAGACTGGTGGTACAGTTCCGTCCCATCGCGGGTTGCGACTTCGTTGTCGCTGGATGGTGGCTAGATTGTCTTGTTCATGAGCCTCCAGCTGATCCACGAGAGTTTCTCTACGGGCTATGTACCGATACGCGCTCAAGTTTCCGGCGACAACATTAATGTACAGTGCCGCTGCCTGAGCTCGTGTCTGCGGTCCAGCGCCAACGGTCCGTTCATTGGTGAAAGAAACGGTGCAATCTGCGCAGGGCAATCTGTTGTTGTCCCGTGTGGCATTATCCCTGCACTGTTGGCAGTCCACCGTATAGGCTTCCGTACGAGTCTGTCAAAACAAAAGTAAGCAAACCGTTTCTCGGTTGCATCCTATAAGTTTACACCCTATAATTACTACGGTCGGGCCAGGTCGGTTCTCGAACTGGTCCAAGACGCCTTTGTGGCCATCTAGTGAGGTAGGTCGACTTCTGTTGGTCGATGACGCCTATGTGGTGTCGATGGAGTGCAGTAGTTGCGCCAGTTCCAACTTTGTCAGTTCTATACGATTGTTCTGGTCCAACGTTTCCGGGCAGAGGGATACAAAAGGATCGTACTTGTTGAGGTACACAAATGTAATGTTATCCACCAGATGTATTTCTGCATCCATTGTGCTACAGTAGCCAACATACTCTAATATTGTATCAGCCATTTTTCACGGTTTTGCGAAAAGTAAACTGAAATTTTGTACGCGCTTTCAGTGAGCACGTGCACAGCAATATGGCCTGTGGCAGCTGGCGATGATGACGTCAGTGGCGATAAGCCTACAGTAATTGTACTTTCCACCTGCTCCGCATCGGTACCCACATCATACACTAGCGTCTTGGTAGAGTATACTGCACAGACCAGTCATACACTGCCACTACGCGCAAGCAAATTTACATTGTACGAGTACTGTACTTGGTACTCATATAGACCGAGCGCGCCAACAGTATGCTATGTGGTTGAAATCGGACAGCGTCTGTCAGCGCCTGGCGATGTGTCTTTTTTCAGAAAGCGCCAAGAAAAAACAATACTTGTACTTAATACTGCACCGGACCGCTCCACACAACACTGACCCCCTCACAGTACCGGCCCCCGCACAGCGCGGGGCTCCGCATAATACCGCACCACACCGGCTCCCGCACAGCACCGACCTCCCGCACAGCACTGTACCGCAAAGGTACGGTAAACAGGACCTAACCACCATGTACAAATACTGTGTGTGTTTATACTGCCACTACTCGTTGTACTTACATACTGCATTGGACCGCTACGGACCGCAATGACTCCTGCAGACAGCATCAGCACTGCCCATACTGCATTGGACCGCTACGGACCGCAATGACTCCTGCACAGCACCGCCCTGCTCCGAACGCCGGCCCCCGCACAGCGCCGACCCCCTCACAGCACCGGCGCACACACAGCACGGGAACGTACAGGTTCTGTACTCTCATTACTCGCAAACAAATAGTACGAGTCCTGTACTTTGCACTCATATGGTCAGGACCCGGCAACAGCCTGCTTTCTGATTAAAATTAGATAGTATTCGGCTGCGAGCATGCACTCTATCTGTTCAATCATCGAACTTTGGGGCAGAAGCAACTTATTTTTCTGATTAAAACTACAGACAAGTTTACTTGTACCTAACGAAATTCAATACTAGGTGTGACAAACCAACCAGCCAGTTGATTAGACAAATCAGCCATGTACTGTATGTATTTTACTGTACTACGTGCAAACAAATATACGAGTACGAGTACAAATATAGAAATATTGTACGAGTAGTGTACTTTGTACTCATATGGACAAAGCGCACCAAAACAGTACGCTGTGACATTGCTGTCTGAATAAAATCAGTCAGCATCGTTCACCACCTGTGAGCGTGCAGCCTGTCTGTACAGTCATCAAATGTTGGAGTAAAATTAACTTATGGGGTGATTAACATTAGAGATAAGTTTACTTGTGCCTATGAGCATTGAATACCAGAAGTACATACTGGTCGGCACAAACAATATAAACGTACATGCGTGACGTAGTTGCCCATCCACCGGGAACAGTCGCGAGCCAGCGTCTTGAAGCATACGTTGTTCGCATATTGATTAACGGTTATTATAGTATGTGTTATAAAATATTGACGTACAAAAACCAAGCTCCAACCTTTTTGTTGTTGAAAAAAATTGAACTTTCGTCTATAGGTTTCATTAAACCTTTGATTAGGACATCAGCTCCAACCACAAAATAGAGGAATTTAATATTTTCTTACGAAATATGTGGAATTCCACGCATCTATTCCTTCCCGAAATAGCACGTACAGCGCAACTACACAGGCTGCTGCTCAGGTACCGAAGTGGTTCAGATCGGTGAAGTGATGTGGTTACCTACAATGAATAGTACTTATTACAACTATACTGCATCAGGGAACTGATATATACATAGATCTCTACAAGTACCGTGTATAATGTACCGCACCACACCGGACCCAACACAACACCGCACCATACCGGCTTCGGCACGACGATGCACTGCGCGGTACCGTATAGGTATTGAATGTATTGTACTGTCACTACATGCAAACAAAATATAAATTGTACGAGTACTGTACTTTGCACTCATATTAAAGCAAGACACTCAAGTCTCTCAAAGTGGATTGCTTATCCAGCGGCCCACGAGGCCAAAACGACTGTTCTGTGTAGGTGGTATTACACGAGATGAGGAAAGAACATAAACAAACACACACTGTCACTGGCACACAACTTTACTTCTCAATCAAACACACGTTAGCAAATTAATTGCCGTCGCGTAAGACCGGCCAAAACTCAATTAAAATTCCTCTCCATAAATTCGGCAGTTTACCGCAGCATCTCAACACCTGTAATCAGTGTGATCAGCCACACTGATCACATGTTACGCTGAACGCTTCAATATTGACAGAACGCAGCAACCGCCTGCTTTCTGATTGAAAGCAGTTAGCATCCGGCTGCGAGCATGCATCTTGTCTGTTCAGACTTTGGGTCAGAAGCAACTTGTTTTTATGATTAAAACTACAGATAAGTTTACTTGTAAAAATAGCAATGAAATACTAGATGTATTTGCTGCAAACAATGCAAGATTTACACTGGTCGGAGCAAACTTGGTAGTCGTACCGTGCTGACATCCACCGGGGGCAGCCGCGCGTAAGTGTCTTAAGCATATGTGTTTCGCATATTTAAAAACACATATTACAAATTAATACGATTATAATGACATACAGACACATGCTTCAACTAAAAAAGCAATATTTAACCTTTTTCAATGTGAAATGTGGAATTCCACACGTCGACACCATGAAACGGCTAAAAAAACAATACTTTTACATTCACCGCACTGGCCCATATCGGACCCAGCACCACGGCGCACCGCAGCCCCTGACGCCGCACAGAACCGGAACCGAGTAGCCATGTACTGTATATACTGTACTTCCACTACTCGCAAAGAAAGATAATATATTGTACGAGTACTGTACTGTTTACTCAGATGGCCACAGACGCAGACAGGAAGCTGGTTCATTTTAGCGTTTGATTGAGACTACAGATAAGTTATGCTTATACCTATGAAAATCTGTAATAGATGTACATAGAAAAAACAACACCGTGTATGTACTGTACGGCACAAGCATTTCGGTTGTACATTTACCGTGACGCATGTATCCACTGGGATGGAAACTGCCTTTAAGCATAAGGTGTTTGCATATTTACGAACAGATATTAGTAATATTTTAATGGGCAATAGCCGCCAAGATAATGACTGCATGCGCTTGGACACTACCAGAAAGTTAATATTTAATCAATCAAAAACAACCAAAATCGAAAGCAGTAGAACGCACTTTTTCAATTAAGTCTCGAATTTGACGGCCCATGAAATGCAACAGGTCACTCATAGCGGGGGCCAAATACCCCCAGTCTCAATCACTAAAAGATAAAAAAGTATCCGTTATCCAAAAACTGATATGTTCGGCGCTTGGAATTTTTGCAAGCTGAGCAACATGTCCAGGTTCCTTACAGCTGCCGGTGACATGCGGCTGTACACCAACTAGTTGCATCCCACACCAGCAGTTTATTGGTAATTAATATAATCAATTTAACTACAGATACTGTGCTTCAACCACAAAGGAGCGGCAATAAATATTATATTTTGTGTACTTCGGTCAGGTGAGGCAGGTTGCTGGCTATAGTGAGCCATGAGCTGTCGTCCTGCTCTGGCCAAGAGAATTTCCATCTCCGTTTCGAGTTGTTCGATCCGGTGTTCTGCCGGTCGACCTCGTTGTCGGCCTGCTTGAGTTCGACAATGTATCTGTCGACCTCATTTCGGTACACTTCAGCCTCTTCGTTGGCTTGATTCAACTGCTGGTGGAATGTCTCTGCTGCCAGTTCCGATTCAACCAAGGCTGTTTGCGTGTTAGCCAGGTCCTTTTCCCCGGTGGCGAGCCGTCTTTTCAGTTCAAAGACTGATTCCACGGACGTTGCAAGTGTACTTCTGAGTCGTTCGACCTCTTCGAAGTCGTACCGACATGGGTTGTCGGACCTCTTGAGGTGACTTTCCAGATGTTCTATCCGGCGCTGTTGAGCGGCTATACCAGTGTTGGCTTCAGCGAGTTCCTTCTCCCATCGCTTTCGTTCAAGCTTATGGGTGTCCTCCGATCGTGACATCTGACTTTCCGTGGAGTTAACGATTTGGTCGGCCCGTACAGGACTCGTACTATTTGTTTGCGAGTAATGAGAGTACAGTACCTGTACGTTCCCGTGCTGTGTGTGCGCCGGTGCTGTGAGGGGGTCGGCGCTCGGAGCAGGGCGGTGCTGTGCAGGAGTCATTGCGGTCCGTAGCGGTCCAATGCAGTATGTAAGTACAACGAGTAGTGGCAGTATAAACACACACAGTATTTGTACATGGTGGTTAGGTCCTGTTTACCGTACCTTTGCGGTACAGTGCTGTGCGGGAGGTCGGTGCTGTGCGGGAGCCGGTGTGGTGCGGTATATGCGGAGCCCCGCGCTGTGCGGGGCCGGTACTGTGAGGGGTCAGTGTTGTGTGGAGCGGTCCGGTGCAGTATTAAGTACAAGTATTGTTTTTCTTGGCGCTTTCTGAAAAGACACATCGCCAGGCGCTGACAGACGCTGTCCGATTTCAACCACATAGCATACCGTTGGCGCGCTCGGTCTATATGAGTACCAAGCACAGTACTCGTACAATGTAATTTGCTTGCGCGTAGTGGCAGTGTATGACTGGTCTGTGCAGTATACTCTACCAAGACGCTAGTGTATGATGTGGGTACCGATGCGGAGCAGGTGGAAAGTACAATTACTGTAGGCTTATCGCCACTGACGTCATCATCGCCAGCCGCCACAGGCCATATTGCTGTGCACGTGCTCACTGAAAGCGCGTACAAAATTTCAGTTTACTTTTCGCAAAACCGTGAAAAATGGCTGATACAATATTAGAGTATGTTGGCTACTGTAGCACAATGGATGCAGAAATACATCTGGTGGATAACATTACATTTGTGTACCTCAACAAGTACGATCCTTTTGTATCCCTCTGCCCGGAAACGTTGGACCAGAACAATCGTATAGAACTGACAAAGTTGGAACTGGCGCAACTACTGCACTTATGATGCCTCAAGTCGCTCACGCGTGGAGCAGAAAATCCAACTTCTTGGAAAACGCAACACAGATTTCACATTTCTACTGGGCCTGGGCGGAGACTGCGAGCGGCCATTGGCAATTACACAGGCGGAAAACATCATCAAGATATCGTTTCACGCACTGCTGTTGTTGCTGAGAGAATTCATGTATACTGATTTTACATACTTTGACTTACCTATTGACTCGCATGACGCTACTGTGTGGAGCACGGTTTTCAACACTTTGTTGAATTCCGAATAGAGTAAAAAGAGGGTGGGGAAAAATAAACAAAAGAAAGGGGGTAAAGTAAGTCCTGTCCGGTTCCGGTTTGGTTCGGTTCCGGTTCGGTTCAGGCCGGTTCGGTTCGGTTCCGGTTTGGCGGTTCAGTCCGGCTCCGGCCAATCAGAGAAGGGCGCGTGTCTGACCAATCAGAGAAGGGGGCGTGCCTGACCAATCAGAGAAGGGGGCGTGTCTGATCAATCAGAGTGTCTGCTAGTTCAGCTGGATGACTACTTTGGCTGCTTCATCTGACGGTTGTTCGTTCGAGTCGCTGTAGACTTCGGTAACTTCCGTTCCCGCCGGAGGCTTATCCTTGTTGATGTAAGACATCCGGAGGTTGAATTCACGCAGCTGTTGTTCCGGTTAGAAATTGGGCACGGTATACCGTAAGGGTACGTCGCGTTCTGCGTTGGTCGTCTGGAGGGTGTGTTCCTCGACCAAGGATGCGATTCGTCCAGCTATCCTGTTGTTGATGATCTCGTCAATATTCCCCGTCTTGTCCATGTACATCACCTTATATACACAGGCAATTTGGACCAATGTCGATCCGCGGGGATTCCTGATATATCCGATGCACCTTGCAATTCTAGTCAGTGTGTCATCCGCGTTTCTTGCGGCAGCACTTTTGAGTGCTTTGATGAGGTCCGGGGGGAGCAGCTCGGCCATCCGTCCCCATTGTCGGTGAACGGCTACTGCTAATCCGAAATCCAAAGTCCAGGCGACGATATGCATCATGAATTGATGCGTCAACCATGTTCCGGTTTCGCCTCCGGCTTGGATGTTGGTCGACAAATCTCGGACCAGGGCCTAGTAAATGTCCGCGCCGTTTTTCTAGGCGTTTTCGATGCTTCGTACGACTTCCACGTGTACTCGAACAGTGCGAATTATTGGATCGACCGGATCGTCCTCCGGTTCGTCTGGGAGGAGATCACGTACGTCGTCCGGGCCCGGCCACTGTGATTCGTCGGTGTCGGCTCCGTGTTGGAAGATTTCCTTCAGGTCGCCTTTGAATCCCTCGTACGGATCGTCTTCTCCATTGTCGGAGATTGAATCCTTCGCTTCGATGTCCGAAATCTGATCGGATTCCGCATCGGACTGTTGCTTCGATGTTGAGCGCTGGGGGTCTTTAGTCGACATCGGCGGCTTGGACGACTTCTGGGTTCGTCCGACTGGAGTTTTAGTCGTCTGTGTGCCGGCTTGTTCCATGACTTCTTGGATTCTACGCTCCAACGCTTCCTTATCGTGCGGTTCTTGAGTTTTCTCCTTCTGCTCGGTCCTTTGTGGGCCGGCATCAGAGGTATCCAATTCGTCGGATGACTTATGCCGCTTGGCTGGGTTAGACTTCGGCGTATTCACCGTAGAATCCGACTTCGGTTTGGTCGACTCCTTGGCTTCCGACTTTACGGGTTTCTTCTGTGTTTCCGTCGGTTGCGGTTTGGGGGGTGATTTTGCCGCTTCTTTCTTAGCCTTCCGTTTATCCTTATGGGATTTGGCTGAGTTTGCCGAGTTGATGACTCGTGAGTCGAGGTCTTCCTCAATCTGCACGGAAGGTTGCCTAGTCGGAGGGGGAACTTTCATCTTGACGACGGGTTGTTGTACCTTCTTCTTAGTCGACTTGGGCTACAGGGCGGTGACTTTGCGTCGGGTCGGCGTAGCCTCTTGTAGGGCTTTATGTCGACTCTTTTCCGCTCGGTAATGTTCTCCCATTCGTTTCATCACTTCAGCCATCTTCTCTGTTAGTCGGTCGTGATCCCGACGGGCTTCTGTAGTGTTTCGGACTATATTGGCACGTCGGATTCTCAACGAGTGCCAGAGTTCCTTATCCTCCGGGTATGCCATGTCAATGCAAACATCCTGTTCCATTCTCGTTAAATTCTTAACGTGTTGTAAGGCGAGGTCGTCATGGAATTCACGCGACGAGTCCTGCGGTGGTTTTTCCTTTACCGTACTCCGCTTGGTCGGTATGTTAACCGACTCGTTTGTCCGTGTTTCGTCTATTGTTAGACGTGGACCGGAGTGTACCGAGACCGGTTCGTCCCTTTGTGGTGACGTTTCGACCGTGGTTTCGACTCGCGCTTCCGAAGGAGACGTGTCCATTTCCTTTCGGGTTTTCTTCAGTTTCGTCGGAGTGTTCCGAGGTGAGAACCTAGGTGGTTTCTCCATCGTTGGTTGACTCGGCAGCTTAGTCGGCTGGGATGCTGATCGGTTCGGCGAAATCTGCTTTACCGGCGATCTTCCGCGTTTTGGCGTGGATCCCTTCGGCGGTACCGCTGCCTCTTGTTGAATAGAGTCATCGGATCCAGTGTCGTCTTCTTCCTCTTTGCTACTATCCGACATAGTTATCGGAATCTTCTCGGTTACCTTTTCTCCAGGCCGAGGTTGGATCTCCAGTGTATAGGGAGCCGGGTTGATGCTTGGGTTCCGAAGGCGCTGGATTGCTAGTATCATGTTCGAATCCAGCGGGAGTTGTCGTAGCTCCTGCTTTCCGCACCTCAAGGCCATCAGCCGTCTCAAGGCTTTATCACTATCCTGGATTGTAGCGTGGGTCTTTTGAGCCATTTAGGTTTGTTGCTCTTTCGTCATGGTTCGATCTCGGATACCTCCTTGAAGTTGTGCTTCGTAAAGTATCCGTTGAAGGTCCATTGTTCTGGCTTGGCTGACCAACTTCTTATGGACGCCGGGAGTAAATAAGGCTTTCGCTCCGGTCACTTTCCGTGACGGGCTCGGTTTTTCTTCCGCCGGAGGTAGGGAAGAAGGAGTCGCCTTTAGCAGTTCCAAGAGTTGTTCCTTGGTTCTGACCGGTGATGGCGACTTCGGCGGGAAGAGACGCCTGCGTGGTCCGCGCTCTTCTATGCGTTCACTCTGAGGTTCTCTTTGTGAGAGCCCGGGTAAAGTTGTTGGTCGCTCGAGAGGTTTAGCTCGGATAGCTTCTGTTGCTCCGACTGCCTCTGATGTGTCCATCGGTTCGTCTTCGCCTTCGAGTGCTGGTACGGGTAAGTCGTCCATCGGCTCGTCTTGGTGACACACCGGTGGGACTACCTGTGTTGGTTTAACAGGTTGTACCTTAGGTTTCTTGGCGGAGGTCGGCTTTTTCAGCTTGCGTTGTTGCTCCGCTTCCTTTCGTTTATAGAAGTCGTCGACGAAGGACTGAATCATAGTCGTTAAGGTTTGCAGCCTTTGCCGACCACCCTGTTGGTGGTCGTAACATGAATCGGGCTTCCTTGGCGTTATTCTCCAAGTGTCCGAGGTTGATGTCGACCTGGCAGTACTGCGGACTCTTTTGGTCGGTGTCGTCCATCATCACTCGAAGTTCGGAAATGACGGCGTCTGCTCGCAGTAACTGAGATTGGACGTCCTTTACCCATTCGAGGTCGGGTTTTACAGGGGGAGCTGGAGGTGGAAGTCGGACCGAGTCGAAGGTCGGTTTTCGAGCCGACCGGGTCTTTGTGATCCGAGACGGCCGACCTTCAGCCATGGCGTTTGTTACCGAGCTGGTCGATTCCTTCTCTACGTCCGCTTGCTTTTCCTCCTCATACTCGTTTACCCTTGTCTCCAACCATGAAGTGGTTCGAATCAGGTGTTGCCGAGTCCTGGTCGTTTGTGGGGCGTCCGGATGACAGAGTCGTCGTATAAACCGGCATTGTTTCCCCACGCCAGGATGTCTCGATCCAAGTCGTGTGCTTCTTGGCTTGTCGTGTGCTTCTTCGTCGTCGTTATCTTCACAGAAGTTTCGGCGGGCTCTCATCTCTGTGATGAGTTTCGCTACTCGGGCCAACAGTTTGACTATGTGTGGCGCGACCGTGCTGGGCAATTCATCCGTGTCCGGTATGGCCTCCATGATCGAGCCTCTTGGCCGGAGACATGGCGCGGTCGACCATTTCCACTTGTTTTGGTTGAGCCAAGCCTGATGTTGAGGTTGGCTTGGGTTAAGTCCGAGCTGCTGTCGAAGCCGGCTGACTCGAGGTAGTCGGTTGTTGCGAGCCGGATGCGCGTTGTTCCGCTTCTTTCCGGTATTCCTGGAGTTCTTTCCGCCGTATTATCTCAATGTCGACTTGCAAGTCCTGGATATGCATCCGAGAGATCCTTAGTTGATCTTCGATTGCCTTCCGAATGTTACGGATGGTCGGATCTGTTTCGTCCATTTTATCGACTTGAAGTTGCAGGTCGGCGGCAATCTTTTGTGTACGGGCCAACTTCTGGTCGAGGGCTTCTCGCTGTTCCACCAATGTGGGTCCGGTGGGTTTTTCTGCGGCAATGGGCTGTGGTTGAGTGGAGGTCAGCTGAACCCTTTGTGGGTTCGCCTCCAAAATTTTCCACAAGTCCTCGACTCGCCTAGAGCAGATGTTGTACTGCTGATCCGAGGCGTCGCGCATTTGCTTTTCCACGGCGTTGTTAGGGTCGAATTCCCGAAGCTGTTTTCCGAGCTTCTCCGTGACGTCGACCGCTTCACGGTACTGATCTTCGACTTTTCCAATGTCGACTTCTTGTTGGTCGACCGCATTGTCTGCGAATGAGAGCTCGACGTCGAGTCCCGGTGATGGAACTGGGGATGGTACTGCTTGTCTTGGCGCTCCCGCTTTGTTCGGGTTTGCCAAGTACTGTTTAACATTATCGATCACCGTCTGCAGTGTTTTGTTAAGTCGGTCCCGGTTCGGACCTGGTGGTGCAGTTTCCATGAGCCTAGTATATCGGCCCAGTCCAGCGCGAGTCGTAGCGCAGGGTCAATTCGGGCGAAATCGGTTGCCTCCCGGTCCGTTACGGTTCCGCCGAGTCGGTGATTGAAAATTTCGGCCAAGTCTTGTCCGGCCTTGCAAATAATATCCAAGTTACCAGGTAAATTGGTGTTGCTCGACGAGGTGGCGACGGCGTCGTGATCCGAGTGTATTCGGGTTCCGCATTGAGGATCTCTATGATCCTTTTAATTGCCGACCTGAGTTGTCGTTCGTCGACGCCGGTCGGTTCTTCTTTGCGGATGAGGTCGTCTGCCTTCTTTAGGTAGGCTGTCAGATCATTCATCTTTTGCCGTGCTACCTTAATAGTTTCGCCATCCGGTGGTGTATTGCGTACGAAGGAGCGCTGGAGGTCCTCCAGTAAATCCCATCCATCGCTGATTGTGGCTGACATTCGGTGTCGATGTTCTCTCCGCATCGCCGAATGCATCTCCGCCGCCGATGAGGTCGACGGTAATGTTACCGGTGAAGTCCTTTCAGATTCCGGTGGGGGATGACTTCGGTTGGGTTCCGCCGATAAGAGACTTCGGTGTTGTTTGTTAAGTTTCATCAGTAGTTCGACTCCCGACTGTATTAGCCGTTGATGAGCCTCCGATTGTGGCGGTCCATGTTGGATGAGACTCTCGACCAGCTCTATGTGAGTTGTAAAGTCGTCTATTTTCTGCAGAGCGAACCCTTCAAGGCCTTGTACCGAGCGTTCGCGTATCTTCTTCAAAATTTCCTTCGCCTCCTGTAGGGCGGTTCTCGCGTCGGCGATTGTCTACTCGCCCTCCATGGCTGGTGTAGTTAAGGCCTGTGTGGTCTTCGCCGGTCGTGGAGACGCTGATAGCTGTATCATTTGTTTCTGGACGTTAATCACCGTGTCGAGTTCCGTATGACGATTGTACAATTGTTTGTACTGGTCCAGCAAGGCTTGGAACTCCTGAGGATGGTTGGCTCCACTTGTTGGGAGAGTCTGCATCCGTTCCCTGATTGCGTTAGACTGGTTGATTACTTCGTCCCGCTTCCGTTTCAAGGGTTCGAGTGTCCGGAGTCGTTCCGGGTCGAGCATCTGGGAATTCGGTAAATGCGCCCCGGTATCGACCTGTGTGGTCGGTAGCGGAGGCGTTGATATCGGTGAAATCGTGACGGTTCCTGGTAATAACGTCTTCAGTTAAACGTTACCCGTTTGTGAGCTCGGAAATTTCTCCGCCAAGATAGCCGTCTTCACTTGGTCCATAGACCCTTGAAGTCGGTATTTGTCCACCTCTGTGGTGGGCATACCGAACCGAGTAAGATCTTCCACTAGCCCTATGTTGGCTATGAGATCATTGACTTTTTTAACTGGATCCACACTAGTGTGAGGTCTTGGATTCCGCCGGCGATGCGTTCGTAGATGTCCTGGAGGGTTTGTTTGCCGTCGAGAATGGTTTTCCAGACTTCTGTCGCCTGTCCAACCGGTCCAATCTGCAGTGCCATGGCATGGTACCTGAGCTGAGAGACCTGTTGTTCGGCTCCTCCTGTTTGGCTCTGGGTTATCTGCTGAATCCGTCGGTAATGCATATTTAATCGGATGGTCTGATCGTCTGTAGTTATACCGTCATCCTGTTCTACTAGTCGGCGGGCTATCCGTATACTTCGGGAGAGGTCGTTCACTACTCCCGCCCTGTTGGCAAGAGCAACAAAATCTCCACCTTGCGTCATCCGCACTCTATCGAGGACTCTGTTTCCGACGTCAATGGCGGATCGTACGTCTGCCAGTGTGGGCATTTGTACTACGTTTGACCGGCGTTCAGCTGCGTCCAAGTTGAGGGCGAGCCGAGGGTGCTGATTAACTCGATTCTGAGCATTTCGCATCCTTGTTCGGAT